GTTGGGGAGGAAGGCAGCAAATCACACTGCCACGTGTGTACCTATGCAACAATCTTGCATGTTCTTCACATGTACCCCAAAACCTAAAATGCAATAAAATAAATAAATGGGAAAAAAAATACTGGCAAACCAAATGCAACAACACATCAAAAAGCTTATCCACCATGACCAAGTAGACTTCATACTGGGGATGGAAGGCTGGTTCAACCACTCCAATTCAACATAGTATTGGAAGTTCTAGTCAGAGAAACCAGCAAGAAAAATAAATTGTATTCAGTTAGGAAAAGAGGAAGTCAAATTGTCTCTATTTGCAGATGACATGATTGTATATTTAGAAGACTCCATCGTCTCAGCCCAAAATCTCCTTAAGCTGATAAGCAACTTTAGCAAAGTCTCAGGATACAAAATCAATGGGCAGAAATCACAAGCAGTCCTATACACCAATGACAGACAAACAGAGATCCAAATCATGAGCAAACTCCCATTCACCATTGCTACAAAGAGAATAAAATACCTAGGAATACAACTAACAAAGGATATGAAGGATCTCTTCAAGGAAAACTACAAACCACTGCTCAAGGAAATAAGAGAGGACACAAACAGGTGGAAAAACATTCCATGCCCATGGTTAGGAAGAATCAATGTCGTCAAAATGGCCATATTGCCCAAAGTAATTTACAGATTCAATGCTATCCCTATTAAACTAGCATTGACCTTCTTCACAGAACTGGAAAAAAACCACCTTAAACTTCATATGGAACCAAAAAAGAGCTTACATAGCCAAGACAATCATAAGCAAATAGAGCAAAGCTGGAGGTATCATGCTACCTGACTTCAAACTATACTACAAAGCTACAGTAATCAAAACAGCATAGTAGTGGTACCAAAACAGGGATATAGACTAATGGAACAGAACAGAGGCCTTGGAAGTAATGCCACACAGCTACAACCATCTGATCTTTGACAAACTGGACAAAAACAAGCAATGGGGAAAGGATTCCCTGTTCAATAAATGGTGTTGGGAAAACTGGCTAGCAATGTGCAGAAAGCTGAAACTGGACCCTTTTCTTACACCTTAGACAAAAATTAACTCCACCTGGATTAAAGATTTAAACATAAGACCTAACACCATAAAAACCTTAAAAGAAAACCTAGACAATACCATTCAGGACATAGGCATAGGCAAGGACTTCATGACTAAAACACCAAAAGCAATGGCAACGAAAGCCAAAATAGACAAATGGAATCTAATTAAACTTAAGAGCTTCTGCACAGTAAAAGAAACAATCATTAGAGTGAGCTGGCAACTAACAGAATAGGAAAAAATTTTTGCAAGCTACCCATCTGACAAAGGGCTAAGATCCACAATCTATAAAGAATAAAGCAGATTTACAAGAAAAAAACACACAACCCCATCAAAAAGTGGGCAAAGGGTATGAACAGACAATTTTTTTTTGAGAGATGAAAAAACAATTTTTAATAGTATTAAAACAAATTAAGACAATGACAGGTGCAGTAGCCCCAGCTACTTCAGAAGCTGAAGTGGGAAGATCACTAGAGCCCAGGAGTTTGAGGCTATACAGTGAGCTATGATGGTGCCACTGCACTCTAGCCTGGGTGACAGTGTTCTTTCTACTCCCTCCTTCCCCCAATTCTCCTGACCTTAAAAGTTTAGAATGGTTTGGCAAATTTTTTTCTGTATAAGACCAAGTATTTTAGGCTTTGTTGCAGCTACTCAACCCTGCTGTTGTAATGTGAAAGCAGTCACAGACAATATATAAACAAATGGGCATATCTGTATTCCAATCAAGTTTTTACAAAAGCAGGTGGTAGGATTGTAACCTGTAGTTAGCTGACCTCTGACCTAGAACAAATAACACTTCCCGAAAAGCCTTTCCTGATACCCATCACAATCAGTGGCTTTATCATGGCTGGCTCACATATTACTAGTAAATCCACTTAGCACATTTACAATCTCTTATTACATATTCATCTCCATTAGGGACTAAGTTCTTTATAGGTAGGTATCATTTTGCTACATAAGCCTCCTCATCTTCACTCTGACGTTCAATGAATATCTGTTTCTAAAAATCAAATCTACCCTAAAAGGAAGATATGACACCATTCATAATATTCACAAGAATGAGCAGCAAGTTCTAAAATTAATTTTAAAGTTTAAGGGGGAGAAAGCACTGCTATGTCACTAGGATCCATACATTGCCTCTTACGCTCTATACTGTGACATGCTTATCAGTATTTTATAATCATACCTTGTGTGCATAGAAGTGCAAACTCAGTGAGCACAGAAATGTCTCTTTTTTTTTTTCAAGCTACTAGAGTATCTAGAGTACTATTAGGTTTACATTAGGTGCATGATAAATACTCAACAAATTTAAACATACTCTGGGGTTGGGGAGAAGATTTCCTTTTATTCTTTTTTTTGATACAGGGTCTTGCTCTGTCACCCAGGCTGGAGTACAGTGGCATGATCTTGGCTCATTGCAACATCCACCTCCCAGGTTCAAGCAGTTCTCGTGCTTCAGCCTTATAAGGCGCTGGGATCACAGGCGTGTGCCACCATGCTGAAAAGGTAGCAGCAAATACTTTTGAAGACTATTTTCAAAAGTAAATAATTATGAAACCTCAGCAAGTACATTTCCTTCCTCACATTTACTTTCTTAGGAAACACGGAGGGGTGGAGGCTTCTCTGCCTGCAATGGAATTCCAGATTCTAAAGCAAAGTTGCTTGTGGGACAAAGGAAAAAGATACATACATATCTTCTATAGAAAATATCCCAAAAACTCAGGAGCACTCAGGAAAGACATGGAATTTAGGATAAAGGCAGACTCTGGTAAGCACACAGTTCAAATCATTAGAGAGCTTTGACTGCTACAGAACAGGAGATAGGAGGGAACAATGTAGGAGGGCACACACAGGAGAGCCACTGTGAAGTGCACACTACTTCCAGACAGACATCCTCCTGAAAGAGAAGTTAGCACTAAGATAAGAGTAGGTAACAAAGTAAGGAAGAAGGGGAATTAAAGTGAGAGAAAGGCAAAAAGCAGAGGGGAAACCTTCACAAAAAAGGGAGTAATGTTGAATTAAAATTTAGAATGTTGAGTAAAAGGTTTATTATTAGTGCAGTCAACACCATGGAACAGCACACAACACAACCAGCAACCTGCAGAGACACTAGTGCAAAGGATAGGGAAGCCTTTCACTGAGCTTCCTGGCTCCATCTGAGGGTAAGGACTGGAGAGTATGAGCCTCGGTAAGGCAAGAAGGGGAAAGGAGAGTGGAAGAAATGTAGTAACCAGAATAAGTACAGCAGCGTTTTCAAATTCCTGAGCACAATGTCCCGGAGCTGGAATCCTGCTCCCCTCAATCTGTATCCCTCTACCCCAGTCCCAGTGGAGCCATGATCCAACTACCCAGACCTGCAGCAAGCTAGCCTGGAATAAAACTTTGAGAAGAGAAGAAGCTGTTACATGGTAGGGAGGAGCCTTTCTATCTCCAACCACATTCTCACCCACATATTAAAATAATCACACCTACTATTCCTCCCCTTCTCTTACCCTGCCAGTCACTCTAGGAATCAAGGTATGTCCTAGGTAACATGAAATGGAACTGAAGTCCCCAAGGGGGTGTGGGTGAGGCACAGCACAGCCTGTACTTAGAGACAAAGATAAAATTTCTATCTGATTTGCATGGTGAAGCTTAGAACCCAGCTATACAGCCCCAAGGAAACTTGGGGAAGCGGGTGTTGCCTTCAAAATGAATACTCTAAACCCGGAGTTTTATGATGAGGTCCTAGAAGGGCTAGGAGGAAATTTTTCCAGAGGGCACAGGCATAGATGCTGGACTGTCATATCCTTCACAGAAATAGAGGGAGCTCCTCATTTCAGTTGCGGATACAGAGGTTTGGGGCAGATATGGTAAGTTCAGCCAAGGACTTCCTTGGCTCTTCCTATATTAAAGCCAAAGATTGTGCTGAAAAGGAAAAATATAAAACACACCCCCATCCCTGTCCCACCCTATCCAGAATCCCCACAATAGGAACATCAAAAGAAAAGCTTTAAGTTTGATTTATTTTCTTTTTGCCTTTCTTAAAAAAACAAAAAAAGGAAGTAAATAAATTAAATTGCCAACAATGTGGCTGGGATAGCCATGATCAGGCCATTCTTAAAAAAAAAAAAAAAGTGGGCAGTAGGTAGGGTTTACGGAATATAAACAAACAATGGCAAAAGGAAATTATCAAAATAACTAACTCTAGTCACAGGGCTAGAGAGGGGTCTATGGAACAATTATGGCTCATGCCACAAGAGGCAGTGCCGACCAATTTTAGCAAAAGCTAGACATAGCTTCTTGCTGAACACATCAACCCCAACAGACTAACCCCTACCCTAAACCCTGGCATTCTCTAATTATGAAAACTTGTAGGAAAGAAGAGCTCATCTGGAAATGTTCAATATCCCAGCCTGCATACTGGTAGACCAGGTGGGAACCTGCACCTTTAAGGTGGGCTGAACAAGGATACTGCTTGGCACAGAGGTCCAGTCTTTCCCTAAGGGCCATCAGTGATGGCCAATTATTGGCCTCACTACATATTTCTAGAGATTTGGCGCCACCCTTACCATTTCTTCAGGATGTCTGCTACTTAGAGTCAACAGGCCTGCCTGCTCTGGTTCCCTGGTTTTGGAGGAGACAGACGATTAGAGATTCCTCACTCTGCCCTCATCCTCCAGAGAAAATGAATCTCTTTGTGCTTTCTGAAAATATCTCGAACCAGGGACCCTAAGCAGGAAAATGGATGGAAGTGGGGGCTTTCCCACCCAAACTGATAATTTATAGACATTTTAGGGGAATATGGCAAGGGGAGGAAATCTGGGTTTCCCACCCGAAAGGCTGAGCAAAGTACCCCAGAGCCCTTCAGTGCCAGAAGAGCAGGGAGATGTGTGGCTCAGCTATAAGCCACAATATTAAGGATAATGGGGAGGACTCAGGTCCCAGCTGCTGGAATGATGGGATTCTCTGATTTCCATCTCTTCCTGATAGCCAGTCGAGTTCTATATTTCTTCCACGCCATGCGCAAATATCATGACAAGGCCTGGCTCTTGCACCATGTCATCACCCATATGCTGGTTCTCACAGGCCATCACGACAACAGCCTGCTTGCCAGGGATGCGCTTGGCCACGTAGTTCTCATAGTAGCGTCGGTTCATCTGTCTAGTCTCTAGTGTGGCCAGACCCTGGGGCCAGCTACAGTCTTTCAATCAGCTCGTTGACAATAGAAGCAGGACAGCCACTCTCCGCCAGGGAGCGCTTGATTACAGCCTGGAGCACGGCCTCAGGAGTCGAGATCATCCCTCCCCAGCGGGTCAATCTTGCTGGCTGAAGGGAGTTCACCCACTCTAGGATCTTATTGTATTCAATTGTGTCCTCCAGGTTCTGAAGGTTGGGGTTGACACTGCAGATTGCACACATGTATTTCTTTAGCAGCTGGATGTCTTGCTTCTGCTCTGCCAGCTGGTGTTTGTGTTCAGCCGATGTCTTCTCCAGCTCTGCGATGCGTGTCTGCTGCTGCTGTACCACTGAGCGCAGGTGCTTAATGCAGTTATGGTTTGGCAGCTCATCTTTGGGCATCTCCAGGCCACAGCCCTGTTCACAGGTCACAGACCGCTTCGGGTTGTGCTAACAGTCACTGAGGTGAGACATGAGGTTGTCAAGATGGACAACAGCACTACAGCCAAACACAGCATTGTCACAGACAATCTGCAGCTTTGATAATATGTTCCGCATGATACGAAGTACTGGGCGCAGATGGGCGACCGTCACAACACTACAGTCCACTGGACACTTCTGTTGCTGAGAAAACCACTGGGTGATGCAGGCATTGCAGAAAGCATGCTCACAATGAGGTGCCTGTACAGTTGCTCCAAGACTCCGCTGCAAATAGGGCAGATAAGATCTTCGTCAACATCCCCCTGGAAACGGGTTACATCATACCCCATGTGTCATCACTGAAACCCAGGTCCTTCCAAGCGTTGGGGACAGGTTCCCTGTTCACAAGGCTCTAACCCCTGATGCCTCCACTCAGAGTCCCTGAAGAGATTCTCCCAGTAACACATCTTGTTGGCTATTCTCCAACTGAGTCTTCCTTCCCAGTAACAAGCTCCATCGCCCAGGGGATGAATGTGATGTCACAATCAGGAGAACTCGCCCTGGAAGCAGCCTGGACTCTCCGCACCCTGGCCCAGTTGGAGCTTAGGCCGCAGCGGCCACAGGTATGCCCTGATGCCGGGTCCCAGCCTTTCCCGGGAAGCGACAATTTTTAGAAGACATTTATGCGGCCAACAAACATTTGAAAAAAAGTTTATCATCACTGGTCATTAGAGAAATGCAAATCAAAGCCACATTGAGATACCATCTCATGCCAGTTAGAATGGCGATCATTAAGAAATCTGGAGACAACAGATGCTGGAGAAGATGTGGAGAAATAGGAACACTTTTACACTGTTGGTGGGAGTGTAAATTAGTCCAATCATTGTGGAAGACAATGTGGTGGTTTCTCAAGGATCTAGAAATAGAAATTTGACCCAGCAATCCCATTACTGGGTATATACCCAAAGGAGTATAAATCATTCTATTATAAAGACACATATACATGTATGTATGTTCATTTTAGCACTGCTTACAATAGCAAAGACCTGAAACCAACGCAAATGCACAACAATGATAGACTGGACAGAGCAAATGTAGCACATATACACCATGGAATACTACGCAGCCATACAAAAGATGAGTTCACGTCCTTTGTAGGGACATGGATGAATCTGGAAACCATTCGCAGCTAACTGACACAAGAACATAAAACCAAACACTACCTGTTCTCACTCATAGGCGGGTGTTGAACAATGAGAACACATAAACACAGGGTGAGCAACATCACACTCCAGGGTCTATTAGTGGGTTGGGGGCTAGCAGACGGGCAGCAGGGTGTGGGGAGGGATAACATTGGGAGAATTGCCTCATGTAGATGACGGGGGGTTGGAGGCAGCAAACCACCATGGCATTTCTGTACCTATGCAACAATCCTGCAAGATTTGCACATGTACCCCAGCACTTAAAGTACAATAAAAGAAATTAAGTGTATATTATATTAATTACAATTTTATTATAGCTATATATCATTGTAATTTGTAGTTGCACTTTTAAAAACTCATCATTCCAGGGTTCAATTTATAAGCGTTACACTAATTACCAAATTATTCTTGCTATATTCTGGACTGTCACACAGTTGTACTAGTATGAGAAAGTTCTCCCTTATGTTTCAGTTGAATACAGAAGTCACTTTAACTTGGAGAGTTTATGCAGAGAGAATAGGTCTCTTCACAAAGCCAAATCAAATTATACATTTTTCCTGTAGGTCAACTACAGTTTAAGAGCCTGCTACTGAAGATAACAGTTTAACTTAGACTTTCAAAACCATGCTATTGCTTATGCAGTATGTCACTTCGTTTCAGTTCACACAGATATAAATGTGTGAGAAGAATGAGATATCTGAGATTGTAATAAATTTTCAAATTTTTTTTCTCCAAACTATGGCTACTCCCACTTCCTTCTACTGTAGAAGGGAGCTTTCCCAGATATGTTCTTCTTCAGCACTTTAGAACTACAGAATATTTGAGATCTAAGTGTCTTTAGAGATCATCTAGCTCAATCCTTTGCTTTATAGATAGAGAAATAAGGTCAAATAATATTTGCAATGGCATTGCTAGTTGGTGATAAGGTTTGATCTGGAACACAGTTCTTCAATTATAGCAGTTGCCTATCTTTGCCCTGGTGAGATTGCTTAGGATCTCTGTATTTTAAGAATCTGTATTGGTTTTATATAAAGGACGAATGTTATAAGGGTTTATTAACATGTCAGTTTTGAAATGTGGGTCTTGTTCACTGAGGGTAGATTGGATAAAATCATGACAGTGAAAATCTATCCAAATATTAGAAATCATCAAAAGGTGGGCTTCTTATAGAAATAATCCCATAACGTTTTTTAAAAAAACCCAATTATCTGAAGAAAGGTCCCTTTTTAATTAAATAAGAGAAAATGAAACAGACTCTATTTGTGAATGATTCCTCTGTGTTTTCTGGAAGATGAAAAATAATAGATCATGACAAAAATGCCTGAGTATCTATCATGTAGCTGTTAACTCTTTTGTTTCCCCTACTTTATGACTTTCAAAACTAAATTAGCAGTTACATTATTTTTACCCATCTTTATGTGTTTAAACCTAATTTATTGTCTCACATAATTTACCCAAATTTATAATCTAATTAGCTGGTACACACGTGAATTCATAGAACAGTAAAGCCCAACCATCTAGCTTATGCTATCACTGTAGATGGTTAAACCTAGGAAAACAAACATAATAGCAGATGTGGATAGATTAACAGCTGTAGCTGGTAGTAACTGCTTATACAATTTTAAAGTGTTCAACTTTAATTCCAACAAAATCACATTATGAAACTGGTGTAGTTTGAAGAATGACTGACAAAAGGAAAATATATATACTCAAGTAAAGTTTAAGTCATGTACAATTCTTAGACCCTGGTTGTGTGCACTCCTTTGGATTAACCATTGCTATCAGGAAATTTTCATTTGACATACAGACATATAAATAACTACCTGCTCATGTGACCACTCTTAAAATATTCTGTAACATTTTTGAGATGGAGAGTCAAATGTCAATATTTTGCTTTAGCTCTCTTGTTAGACTTGGCAATAGTACTTTAACTTTCATTTGAAATTATAGAAGTAATATGTAAGCATAGAAAACTAAACAGTGCACAGAAGAGATTTTTATTTCTATCAAGAATTGTTATTAAAAGTATCAAAAAACTTTTCTGTATTTATTGAGTTGTTAATACATGGATTTCTTTTTTTAGTCTTAATGCAATGAATTAGACTAATAAGCTTTCTTTTAAATTAACCTTGAGTTTCTGTAGTAAATCCGACTTAGGCAAGCTGTCTGGTTCTTGTAATACACTACTGGAAGTTGAGTGGTCAGGATGGCCAAATAGAAGTAGCTGGGGTGCATGGCTCTCTACAGAGAGGAATGTAAGGGATGAGTAAATACATCACCTTCAACAGAAACATCCAGGGGTACTCACACTGGGACTAGTCAAGGAAACAATTTGATCCACCCGGAAAGGATAAAAGCAAGGCAGGATGATGACCTGGAAGTGACCTGGAGTCAACGGAACCCCCACAATCCAGGGAAGTGGTGAATAAATGTACAACCTTGGGAAACCATACTTCCCCGATGGATCTTTCCAAGCCTCAGGTCCAGAGATAACCTTGTTAACCCACTCCACCAGGGCCTGCAGTCTGACACACACAACTACCTGGAGTCGCAGACAAGCAGCTGCTCAGGCACACATGGAATCCTGGGAGCTTTAGATTCTCCAGCTTTCTGGGCATCCCAGCGAAAGTAACTGCAATTCTGGCAAAGGAGTGAAAGAAATTAGCTAGCTTGGCTTAGATAGACAGCAAGGCAAGGGTCCCTGGAGACCCCCTGACCCACCAGTCAGTGCCTCATCCCCACATAACACAAAAACAGCCTGAGAAAAAAAATCAAGCTTCAGCCACTGATAAGGGAACTTGTGGCTGTAGACATGCCCACAGCTGCACAGATAGGAGAACTTCCAGCCCATTCAGATAAAAACTTGCAGAAACCCCCAGCTCACTCACAAAAGGGAACAAGACCTGACATAGAAATGCTTTTGTCCATTGTATAATCAGTGGGCTCCCAGGAAAAAGTTTCTTCTCTTTTTGTTGGCATGAACACAGTGGGTTCCAGTGGGTTCCAGTGGGCACTTTCCTTTCCTTTTGGATTGTGAGCTCAGCTTCTATGAATCTTCATCGCTTCAGCTCCTGACTGGTCCTGGGTCTAGGTCCCGGGGGAAGCTTTCACTTCAGCTTCTGTTAGGTCCCAGGCCAAACTGAGCGGCCTCTATGAATCATCCCTTCAGCTCCTGATTGGTCCCAGGCCAAGTTTTCTAATTTATCCCAGGCCAAGACCCCAGGCCAAGCCAAGTCATGTATTCTTCAAGGCAGCCTGCAACCTAAGCACATTGCTTCCTTTTACCTGTCCATAAAACCCTGGACCCCAGCCTCATAGGGGGTAACTCATTTGGGCTCCCCTCTCTGCTGACAGAGAACTTTCTGCTTTTGCTCACTAAACTTTTGTTCCAACCTCACCCTTGTGTCTGTGTTCCTTCATTATCTTGGATGTGAGAAAAAGAACTCTGAGTATTATCTCAGACAATGAGGGAGTGCTACAACTTGGTGCGTTGATGAGACTACCACAGTGGGACACTAAACTCATGTACATACCACTAGGAAAAAGGCTGAATCCAGGGGTCAAGCAGTGATGGTCTGGGTGCTCCACTTTTATGGCACCTGACAGAATAACAGCCATAGGCTTGGAATTCTAGCCAGCACCACCAGAAGTGCTGCAGCTCTCTGGCAGTGACCTCCTAGGAGGAGGGGGTGAAGAGCCATCTTTGCTGTTTGAGCAACTTAGCCATTCTAGCCTGCAGGTTTTGGAGAGCCCAAGCTGATTGAAGCAGAGGTGGTACTCCGGCACAGCACAGCTGCTCTATTAAAGCATGTCCAGTCTGCTTCTTTAAGCAGCTCCCCAATCCTATTCCTCCTCACTGGGTGAGAACTCCCAACTAGGGATTCCAGTAACCTCCACCAATGTTCTCCAGGAGACAGACATTTGAAAACTCCCTGGAACATAGCTCCCAGAGGGAGGGGCAGGCCAGCATCTTTGCTGTTTGGGCGACTTAGACTTTCCAGCCTGTGGGCTTTGGAGAACTCAAACCAACTGGGGTGGAAGCAGTACCACAGCACAGCACTGCTACTCTGTGAAAGCATGTGTGGACACATTGTATTTTTAAGCAGGTCTCTCACCCCGTTCCCCCTTACTGAGTGGCATCTCCCAACAGGGGCTTCTAACCACAACCAACCGTGTTCTATGGTCTACAGAAATTCAAAAACTCCCTGGGATAGAACTCCCAGAGAGAGGGACAAGCCATCATGTTTGCTGTCTGGGTGACTTAGCAGATGCAGCCTTCAGGTCCCAAGTGAACCAGGGGTAAAGCAGTATCCCAGCACAGCACCACACGGCAGCCCCATGAAAACATGGCCAGACTGCTTTTGCAAGTTAGTACCCAGCCCTATTCCTCATCACCAGCTAGTGCCTCCCATCCAGGGTTTCTGGCTATCATACTGGTGTTCTCTGGTTGAAAGAGGTTTGGGGACTCTTTGGGACGGAGCTCCCAGGAAGAGGGGCAGGCCACCATTTTTGTTGTTTGGACAACTTAGCTGTTCCTGCCTTTGAGCTTTGGAGTATCTGAGACAATCAGGAGCTGAAGTGGACTATCAGCACAGCACAGCTGCTCAAGGAAAACATGGCCAGACTGCTTTTTTAAGCAGGACTCTGATCCCATTTCTTCTAACAGGACGAGAACTCCCATCCTGGGTCTCCAGCCACCTCCTACAGGGGCATTCAGGCCAGAAACTAGTCCATATCACCTTGAGACAGAGCTTCTGGAGGAGGGGGCATGCTGTCATTTTTGCTGTTTTCCTGTATTCAGTGATGATACCTATATGTATTGGAAAATATGAGGCAATTAGTGACTAGAGCGGACGCCCAACATATTGCAGCAGTGCTACAGAAAATTGGTCAGAGTGTTAAAAGAAAAAAATGGGGAGGTTGAGGCAGGCAGATCATGAGGTCAGGAGTTGGAGACCAGCCTGACAAATATGGTGAAACCCCGCCTCTATTAAAAATACCAAAAACCTATCCAGGCATGGTGGTATATGCCTATAGTCCTAGCTACTTGGGAGGCTGAGGCAGGAGAATTGCTTGAACCTAGGAGGTGAAAGTTGCTGTGTACTGAGATTGCATAACTGCACTCCCACCTGGGCAATAGAGGGAGATTCCGTTAAAAAAAAATGCTTTATAGACCTCAAAGACTGAAGTTAGATAAGCCCACAAAAAATGAGACAGAATCAGTTCAAACTGCTAAAATCTCAGAAAGCCAGAATTCCCTTTTTCCTTGAAATGACCACATAACCTCTCCAGCAAGGGTTTGGAATGGGGCTGAGTGGAGATGGTTGACATAACAAAAATAGAATTCAAAATAAGGACAGGAATGAAGTTACTGAGCAAAAGTAGTACATTGAAACCCAATGCAAGGAAGTAAAAAAATTATGAAAATGCCTTGCAGGAACTAACAGAAAAAATAGCCAATATAAAGAAGAATATGGCCAACCTGATAGAGCTGAAAAACACAATAAAAGAATTTCATGATAAATTAACACATATTATTAGCAGAGTAGACCAAGCAGCGGAAAGAATTTCAGATCCTGAAGACTGCCTTTCTGAAATAAGACAGGCAGGCAAAAATAGAAAAAAGAATGAAACAGAATAAAGAAAATCTTGGTGTTTTTTTGGACCAAGTCTGGCACTGTCACCCAGGCTGTAGTGCAGTGGCACGATCTTGGCTCACTGAAATCTCCACCTCTTGGGTTTAAGCAATTCTCCTGCCTCAGCCTCCTGAGCAGCTGGGACAACAGGCATGCACCATGATGCCCAACTAATTTTTTTTGTAATTTTAGTAGAGATGGGGTTTCACCATGTTGGCCAGGATGGTCTCAATCTCCTGACCTCATGATCTGCCTGCCTTGGCCTCCCAAACTGCTGGGATTACAGGCATGAGCCACTGTGCCAGGCCAACAAAATCTTTAAGAAATATCAAACTATAGGCTGGACATGGTGACTCATGCCTGTACTCCCAGCACTTTGGGAGGCTGAGGCAGGCAGATCACTTAAGGTCAGGAGTTCAAGACCAGCCTGGCCAACATGATGAAACCCTATCTTCACTAAAAATACAAAAATTAGCCAGGCATGGCGACACATGCCTGTAGTCCCAGCTACTTGGGAGACTGAGTCAAGAGAATGGCTTGAACCTGGGAGGCAGAGGTTACAGTGATCCAAGATCATGCCTTTGCACTCCAGCCTGAGTGACAGAGTGAGACTGCATCTCAAAAACAAACAGACAAACAAAAAGTTAAATAAATATGGAATTATTCAAGAGACAAAATCTATGACTGAGTGGTGTACCTAAAATAGATGGGAAAAATGGAAACAATTTGGGAAACATATTTGAGGATATTATTCCATGAGCACTTTCTCAACCTAACTAGAAAGGCCAACATTCAAATTCAGGAAAAGCAGGTAATCCCAGTATGATACCCCATGAGAACATATAATTATTAGATGTCCCAAGGTTTAAATGAAGAAAAGAATGTAAAAGGCAGACAGAGAGAAAGATCAGGTCACCTACAAAGAGAAGATTATCAGACTAACAGTAGACCTCTCAGCTGAAACCTTACAACCAGAAGAGATTGAGGGCCAATATTCAATATTCCTATAGAAAAGAAATTTTAACAAAGAATGTTATACCTGGTCAAACTAGCTTCATAAGCAAAGGAGAAATACGATCATTTCATACAAGCAGATGCTGAGGGAAATTGTAGCCACCAGAAGCACTAAATATGGAAGCAATGAAGGAAGAAAGCACTAAATATGGAAAGGAAAGCACTTAATATGGAAAGGAAAGACAATTATCAGCAATTACAAAAACACACTGAAGTACACAAACCAATGCCACTATAAAACCACATAAACAACTCTGCAAAATAGCAGCTAGCATCACGAGGACAGGGTCAAATGCACACATGTCAATACTAACCTTAAATGTAAATGAGCTAAACACCACAGTTAAAATGCACAGAGTAGCAAGCTGGATAAAACCCCAAAATCCATTGTTATACTGGCTTCAAGAGCCTCATCTCACATGCAATTACACGCATAGGCTTACAATAAAGGGATGGAGAAAAATTTACAAACCAAATGCAAAACAGAAAAAAAGCAGGGGTTGCAAATCCTGTTTTTTAACTAAATAGATTTTAATCCAACAAAGATCATCAAGGAAAAAAAAGGGCATTACATAATGGTAAAGGGTTAAATTAAACAAGAAGAGCTAACTATCCTAAATATATATGCACCCAACACGGAAGCACCCAGATTTATAAAGCAAGCTCTTAGAGACCTTCAAAGAGAAGTAGGCTTCCACAAAATAATAGTGGAAGACTATAACACCCTACTGACAATATTAGACAGATAATCAAGACAGAAAATTAACAAAGATATTCAGATCCTGAACTCAGCACTAGATCAAACAAAACAACAAAACAAAACAAAAAGCCTAACAGATATCTGCAGAACTCTCCACTCAAAAACAACAGAATATGCATTCTTCTTATTGTCACATGGTACTTACTCTAAAATCTATCACATAATTGCAAGTGAAACACTCCTCAACAAATGCAGGTGGACAAAATTATAACAAACAGTCTCTTGGACCACAGTGCAATCAAATTAAAAATCAAGACTAAGAAATTCACTCAAAACCATGCAATTTCATAGAAATTGAATAACCTGTTCTTGAATGACTCTTGGGTAAGTAATGAAATTAAGGCAGAAATCAGGAAGTTCTTTGAAACTAATGAGAGAAAAGGTACAATGTACCAGAATCTCTCAGACATAGAAAAGGCAGTATTAAGAGGAAAATTCAAAGCACTATACCACATCCAAAAGTTAGAAAGATCTCAACTTAACAACATAACATCACAAATAAAAAAATCCAGAGAAACAAAAGCAAACGAATTCCAAGGCTAGCAGAAGACAATAAATAACAAAAATCAGAGCTGAGGTGAAGGAGAAACAGATATGAAAAACCTTTAAAAAATCAATGAACCCAGCAGCTGTTTTTTTTTTAAATAATTAATAAAACATTTAGACCACTAGCTAGACTAAAAAAGATGAAAAGAGAGAAATTCAAATAAGCACAATCAGAAACAACAAGGAGGATATTTCCACATATGCCACAGAAACAGCAACAATCATCAGAGAATATTATGAACACCCCTATGCACATTAACTAGAAATCTAAAAGAAATGAATGAATTCCTGGACACATATACCCTCCCAAGCCTGATTCAGCAAAAAATTGAATCCCTGAACAAACCGATAATGAGTTCTGAAATCAAAGCAGTAACAAATGGCCACCAAACAACAACAAAAAAGCCCTGGAACGGACAAATTTAGAGCTGAATTCTACCAAATGTACAAAGAAGAGGTGGTACCATTTTGACTGAAAATATTTCAACAAATTGAGGAGGGACTCCTTCGTAACTCATTGCATGAGACTAGCATCATCCTGATACCAAAACCTGGCAGTGACACGACAGAGAAAGAAAATTTCAGGCCAATATCCTTGGTGAACATTGATGCAAAAAATTCTCAACAAAATGCTGGCAAACTGAATCCAGGATAACATTAAAAAGTTTATCCACCATGATCAAGTAGTTTTCATCCCTGGGATGCAAGGTTGGTTCAAGCTATGCAAATAAATTAATGTCATTCATCACATAAATAGAACTACAGAAAAAACCACATGCTTATCTCAACAGATACAGAAAAGGCTTTCGATAAAATTCAACATCTATTTAATGTTAAAAACTCCCAATAAAGGAACATACCTAAAAATAATAAGAGCTATCTATGACAAACCCACAGGCAACATCAAAGTGAATGGGCAAAAGGGGAAGCATTCTTCTTGGAAACCGGCACAATGAAAGGATGCCCTCTTTCAACACTCCTATTCAACATAGAGTTGGAAGTTCTGGCCAGGGCAATCAGGCATGAGAAAGAAATAAAGGTCATTCACACAGGAAGAGAGGAAATGAAACTATCTCTGTTTGCAGATGCCCTGATCCTATATGTAGAAAACCCCACAGTCTCAGCCCAAAGGCTTCTTATGCTGATAAACAACTTCAGCAAAGCTTCAGGATATAAAATCAATGTTCAAAAATTATCAGCATTTCTACACACGAACAACAGTCAAGCTGAGCACCAAATCAGGAGCAAGTCCCATTAAGAATTGCCACAAAAAGAATAAAATACCTAGGAATACAGCTCACTAGGGAAGTGAAAGATCTTTACAGTGAGAATTACAAAACACTGCTCAAAGAATGCAGAGATGACTCAAAGAAATGGAAAAAGGATTCCATGCCCGTAAATAGAAAGATTATTGTTAAAATAGCCATCCTGCCCAAAGCAATTTATAGTTTTATTGCTACTTCTCTTAAACTACCAATGCCATTCTTCACAGAACTAGATAAAATTATTATAAAATTCCCATGAAACTAAAAATGCTTGAATAGCCAAGGTAGTCCTAAGGAAAGAGAATAAAGCAGAAAGCATCACTCTCTTTGACTTTAAACGCTACTACAGGGCTACATAACCAAAACAGCATGGTACTGAGGGAGAAGAAAAGGAACAATTGGTTGGGGAGAACACAAACTGCAGAAGCTGCCTGCCTGAAAAATCACAGCAATAGGTAAAAATAAAACAACCTGCGAAAAAACGCAGGCTGCAACTTCGCACAGATATGCAGACAAGTTCCAGCATAGAAGCCCTTTGTTCTTAGTGTAATTAGCAAGCTTCTAGGCAAAAGTTTCCTCCCCTTTTCCAGCATATACATGATGAGTGAAATGGAAAGTGGCACAAGGAGGAGAGGGGTTACTTAAAACCCACAGTTATACAAACAAAAGGCGCTTTGTGCTTGCCTAGAACATACCCACAGCTGCACAACGTAAGGGAGGTTTCACAAACAGCTTCACTGATTAAAAAAAAAAAAAATTGTTACTCAAGCAATTATAGTGAGGAGAGCAGTTTCTTTCTTCTTCTTCTTTCTTTCTTTTTTTTCTTTTTTTTTTTTTTGGCATTCAGCTGTAACCCAGCAGTCCACTTGGATGCCCCTCTCCATTGTGGAGAGCTTTCTTCTTTCACTTTTGTTTGTGTTCCCTAATCTTTTTGGACATAGGACAAAGAACCGTGGGTACTAGTTCAGACAATGAGAACTGCTAGCATTGGTGAGACTGCAAGAGTACTGGTACAAAAGCAGACACACAGACGAATGGAACAGAATAGATAACTCAGAAATAAGACTGCACACCTACATCTACCTGATTTTCAACAAACGTGACAAAAACAAATAATGGGGAAAAGATTTTCTATTCAATAAATGGTACTGGGATATCTGAGTAGCCATATGCAGAAAATTGGTAGCTGGATCCCTTCTTTACACCATATACAAAAATTAATTAAAAATGGACTAAAGACTTGAATGTGAAACCCAAATCCATGAAAAATTCTGAAAAAACAACGTAGGCAATACCATTCAGTGTATAGGCACAGGAAAATATTTCATGAGAAAGACATCAAAAACAATTGTAACAAAAGCAAAAATTGACAAATGGATTCTAATTAAATTACAGAGCTTCTGCACACCAAAAGAAACTATCAGCAGAGTAAACAAGCAACCTACAGAATGGGAGAAAACTTTTGCAAGCTATGCATTCAACAAAAGACTAATGCGCAGTATCTATAACGAACTTAAACAAATTTACATAAAAACCAACAACCCTGTTACAAAGTGGACAAAGGTCATGAACAGACATTTTTCAAAAGAAGACGTACATATGGCCAACAAGCATATGAACAAAAAGTCAACATCACTGATTATTAGAGAAAGGCAAATGTAAACCACAGTGAGATATTATCTTACTCCAGTCTGAATGGCTGTTATTAAAAAGTAAAAAAAAAAAAAACAGATGCTTGTGAAATTATGGAGAAAAGGAATGCTTATACTCTCTTGGTGGTTGTGTATATTAGTTCAGCCATTGTGGAAGACACTGTGGGGATTCCTCAAACATCTAAATTCAGAAATATCACTAGACCTAGCAATCTCATTACTAGGCCTATAACCAAAGGAATATAAATCATTTTATTGTAATGACACATGCAATAGTATGTTCATTGCAGCACTATTCGCTATAGCAAAGACATGGCATCAACCTAAATGTCTATCAGTGGTGGACTAGATAAAGAAAATGTGGTACATATACCTCCATGGAATACTACGCAGGTGTAAAAAATGAGATCATGTGCTTTGGTGCAACATGATGGACCTGGAGGCCATTATCCTTAGCAAACTAATGGAGGAACAGAAAACCACATACCACATGTTCTCTCTTATAAGTGGGAGCTAAGTGATGAGAACACCTTGGAAAGTAGAAGATAACTACAGACACTGGGGCCTTTTGGATGGTGGAGGGTGGCAGAAGGGAGAAGATCAGGAAAAATTACTAACGAGTACTAGGCTTAATACTTGTGTGATGAAATAATCTGTACAACAAAACACCATGACACAACTTTAATCATGTGATGAACCTGCACTTGTAACCCTGAACTTTAAAAAAATACATTACTGTGTTATACTGGACTGAGCATAGAAAATTAACACCAAGACAAAAGTATGTCAAATTGCAGGGTCTTTATTATCCCAGCGACCACAGAGGACTCACATCTCTCCAACCTGTGGCATCGAACTCAGGGAGAGCAGGGTTTTTAAGCTGAAAAACCACATCCTGGTTTTAGGACCCAGAGGGTGAGGAGCGGGGATGGGGATGAAGGGCTTCAGACATTCCAAGGGCTAGTGGATTCTGTAAATCACCTCCTGGGCTGAGACGAGGGTGAGGGGGGCTCCCGACATTCCAAGGGCCAGGGGTCTTTACTTTTGTCACTCCGATTGTTACTTAAGTGGTTTACAGAATTCAAGATAAACGTTAGCTTACACATTATCTGGGTAGGGTGAAAATTACAGACCTTAGTTACTTATTATAAGTCGCAGGGGCCAAGATGGCATTAGCTTGGGCTGCTTATTCTGGTACTGATAAGAAAAGGTAAGCAGCTTTTACATAGTGGGCATTTTTCAGAGCAAGCTAGCAGCTTTATTTACAGAAGCCAAGGCTGGCAGTTATTGTGAGGTGAATGGGGCAGCCGTTACAACTTATTTTAAAAACAGCTTTGTCTTTTATAAAATTATGTTGTTCAGGCTCTAACTCTAGGCCAGCTATAGCACAATATCACAACTGGAATACATTTTGTGCTATATATTCTACAACTTTGCATTTATGTTCATAATTGACCATGCTGGTAGTTTACTTCTTGTTTTGTTTTTGGTGGCAAAGTTATGCTAATTCAAAAAAGCTTGCATAGCATTAGAATGATCTATTACTGTGTGAGAAAATATGGTTCATAAAAACTTTTGTGCCAGCCTCTGTAGTAGGAGATACTTATAATAATTTTTCCATTATTTTTGGTCACTGGTGTATTAATATTTCCTGATTTTTCTTGAGCCAATTTTGTTTGCTTATATATTTTATGGAAACATTTTATTATATCATATTTTGAATTTTTTATAACAAGATTAGTAAAAGTACAAGTAGTAAAATCTAAGATTCTCCTGCCATGTACCTATCCCCATTACCCTCACTACACATAAGTAAACACTATTAGGAGTTTCTACTTTTAGTTCTTGTGGTTGTCTTCATACCATAATATACTTTGCCTCTAGCATTGATCTATCACCTCTATGCAAGATCTGTTGACTTCTAATTCTGCCACAAAAGAGAAGAAATACAGCACACTTACACTGTCTTGTCTTTCTTAATTCCTCTCCTCTAATTTTGTTAGTCATGTTACTATTTTTAGCTCCTCAAGCAGTTCCTTTTCTTTCTAAATATATTGGTTTTAGACAGTCAGCTATTACTTCCTACTATGAGCTTTCCTAAACTTTTTATGTTAGGCACGAACACAAACTCAACAATTTTTAAGCACATAATAAAACAAGATTTACCACTAATGTTAAAATAAAAATAAAATTATGGTTTAAAATATTTGTAATAATAACCATTACACTGATAGATCCAGACTAACAAGAGGGTATGTTTAACTTGCAGCATTTCACCAAAGTATTTATATATGTCTTAGTAATTAATAGGCTGACTGACATATCAAGTTACACATCCAGTTTACGTAATAAAGTGTAAATTTTGTTTGTGTGTATGAAGTTAGATTTGCCTGAATTTAAAAAACTTAGTAGTATATTTAGCTAAAGTGCTTGTAACATTACATAACATTTGATGCTTAAATCTAAACATTCATAATTGAGATTAAAGTGTTACTATTTTTAAAGAATTTTAGGAAAGTACAATTTTCTTAAAGTAATGAAGGAAGTTTTCTGTCTTATGATCTTCAGATTTTTCTAGATATTTCTGCACGTCTATGTCAGCAATGACAATTTCTTTATTTTTAAAAGGAGCCAAAATTCAATGATATACAATTTTAAATTACCAACTTAAAAACATAAAGTTTTCAAAGAGTGTATAGACATTTTGTATTCATTTTTCCATCTGACCGTCCAAATATCCTATAAAATAGATACAACAGTTGAGGTTATTCCCATTTTATAGATGAAAAATTAGTTTTAGAATGATACAGTGATTTGTCCAAGATCACAGTAAGAAGCTATTTTATCAATAGTTTTTGATCCCTAGTCCAGTGACTTTTTCATGTTGACATAGTATAGGAAACGATATTCATAATGCACTTAATATTATGCCTGACGCATAGCAGGTACTCAATAAATAATATCATGTAACGTTATTACTCAAAATTATAGCATTTGATAATGTTAAATAAAGAAATGTATCAAGACGGAAAGCCCAATTATATCATGCATATTTCAAATGATTACAAAGATATAATATATACTTCAAATGATTAGGTTTTTAAACAACATACATGCAATATTTCATTATACCATTATTCTGATATTTTGAGAGCTCCCAAACTGTGTTGAAGCTCCTCATCCCTCCCTGAATGCCTTAAATCAAGGTTTTTGGGCCATGGAACTCTTCACACCGTCTGGAAAAATTTGTGAACCCATTTTCAGAATAATATTATTTAAATCATGGAATAAAATGCATGGGATTACAAAGGAAATAATTTATCTTGAAATAGTTATTAAAATACTGAAAAAATAATTTACAATCAAATAACGAAATCTACCAGCAAGCCTAATAACTGTAATTTTGAAATAGCTGTGAATCTAAATGACATTTTAAAACCTTTTCAATAACTGCAATGTAATATGAGAATACTGGTAACTTTGGGAAGAAAATGTGGCACGTATTACTAATATCATTTTGGTTTATTGCTTGATTCATTCACAATAGAAAGAAACACTAAATTTTAGGTAGATATAAAAGAATGTAAGTTGATAGTTTCCAACTGTCCAAGCTAGTGTGATCCCCTGAATTGTATTCCTGATAGAATGTTTGAGCATCTGTGGACCCCAGTTTGTGAACCCTTGTCCTGAAACAAACCCTGCCAGTTATCAAGAACCACCCATTGACACAAGAGTGGAAATAAATATTCCTATTTTCTTGGTCTTAAATAGAAAATGCCTGTGCTTTTTTCCCCACCTGTTTTTTTGGAAGAAGACATACTTGCCAAAACAAATGGCGTGGAAGAGACAGAAGAAGGTAAATAGAAAAATTGACTCAGAGAAAAGAGCGATATTCAGGGAACGTAGATCATTAAACAATTATTTTTTTCCTGTTATGGAAAAAACAACCAAACAACCAGGGGTCAAGAAGTAACTCTTGGAAATAAAACCCACGATTACTGAACCAATTGAAAGGATTTAAAGTGACACACCCATGCTGTCTTTCCTTTCTTCTACGTCCTCTTTACCATCAGATTGGTGCTGAAGGAGGTTCTAGACCTCTTGGGCAAGTTTACAACTTAATCTCTTTTGTCCTCTGGATCCAGTGCAGTAAGCATTTCATGAAGAGAGAATGGAACAATCCCATTTAGGCCTCCTTTCCTACGCCAGGTACTCCAGCACAGTTTACCAGGGAGAATAGAGATGTAAAGCTGGAGATATTTTAAGGACTTGCCCATAGTTAAGTAGTGATTTTTTTTCACCCCTGAGTTTTCTTTTCTGTACATAGAGCTTCTTTAATCCAGCAGTCCTCAGTGGGGGTAATTTTACCCACCCAAGAATCATTTGGCAATGTCTGGAGACATATTTGGTTGTCATAATTTGAGGATATACTACTGGCATATAGGTGAGGGCCAAGGATGCAGCTAAGACACTCTACCATGGACAGAACAGCTCTTCCTACAACAAATAATTATTTGGTCTGAAATGTCAATAGCGCTGAGGTTGAAAAATCTAACAGTCAAGCACTGTCATGGAAAAAACCAGAATTGGTGGAGCTGCCAAACTATACCCAAACCCCTAATGATAGCCATTTTCCATTTTATAATTAGTTTAAAAAAAGACGTTTAGTATTCTCCCTATTCTGTGAGAAGTCCAGTACAATATTTTAATCTATGAGTCTGTTTTTAACTTGTAGACTTTACTTGATTAAAAAGTATTGTGGATATTTCTCTCTCAAAATTGTAGACTGTGTCTAAGAGATATCAAAACTCTTGGTTGATTGAGTTTTCTATTATATGAGTTGACTGTTTTGACATCTTATAGAGACAAGGAAAAACTGAGAAATGACAAAAAATACCTCAGAGGCAAGACTGAAATACTGATCTTAGTTTCTACTTTTAGAATGCAGATATTCCTATTGAAACATTACAGAAAAAAAAAGAAATTATGGAGAAATCTCATTTGGAGATGTAAGCCATTTATTTTATCAAAACATTTTATTTATTTTAAAATAATGTCCTCAGAAGACAGCCAGAGAGTTTTAATTTGAAATTAAAAATTAAAATAGAAAGCATTGACATTTTGTAAAGCATGTTCTTACAAAGTTTTAACCAAAGCATGATTTAGGCAGGTTGTGGTGGCTCAGGCCTGTAATCCCAGCACTTTGGGAGGCCAGCCTGGGAGGATGGCTTGAGCTCAGGAGTTTGAGATGAACCTGGTCAAAAAAAAAAATTATTCAATTAAATAATTTTAGGAGTTATATTCACATTTCTGCATATTTTTAAAAATTATACTATAACTGGCTAGATATATCATAGCAAGGCAGTGACAAGCTAAAGAACTATCTTTTTAGAGCTGAGAAATTCAGAATTTCATTGAAATTTTCACTTCAGATATTCATCCTTCATCAGATACATGACATTTCTACAACAATCTCAATTACGATAAAAAAGAAATAATTTAAGGAAGATTTATAGGCTCTGTGACTAAAATCATCAGTACCATAAAAGGCCAGGCTTCAGTGAAGCAGGAAATAATATTTTGAATGTGGCTAATGTAATAACAGTAAGAGCAGCAGTTTAGAAAATGTGCTTCACCAGGAATTAGGAGATCCTGGTTTTAGCACTAGTACTATTTCCTGTGTGAGCTTCAATATATCTAATAACCTTCTTAGGCTGCACGCAAGTTGCTCCTTTGTAAGGAGTGAGTTCTATTTATCATTAGACCTAGAATTGTGTCTGATGCAGTAGATTGTTTGTTGAAGCAATGTTATAGAGAAATTGCTAAAATAGGACAGAAAACAGTAGCTTCGTGTGCTTATCCAGGGTAAGTTCCAGGTAAAACATGAAATAGCTTTCCATTCTTTGCTTCCCTTCCACTTCCAAGCATCCTTTCTCATATTTGCATTGTTGATGGTCCCACATCTTTGTTTTTCTATCTCTTCAAATTTCATGATGTTTGCGGTGCCACTGTGCCTTTGATCCATGTTCTTTCTCGCAGAGTAATAGTGTCCCCTGGCATTTTTCCAAAACTAACATGA